AACTGATTAATATTATTTTTTCTACATTAACAATAATGCGAAAGATTGATAAGAATATAATGTATAAATGTTGGAAAAGAGAACAAATATGTAATACATTGTTATACTACTTCCGTCCCACTAATATTGGGACGAAAGAGGATGACACAGTTACGAAGAAAAGTGAGGTTATGCGGTTGATATTAATTGATAAAGTACGAATAAAGTAAGAATGATTTAGTGACATACAAAACTTACCAAATTTGGTATGAGATAATTTTAGTGTGATTTCCTAAAAAAAATAAAATGAGACAATATTAGCAGGACAGAGAGAGTATAATACTACGTAAATAGTTAAAAAAGGAGTCAATGTTAGCAACATTTTAGAAGCCAATAAAATGTAATCCCAATATAATTTTTCCTTGCATGTCATAAATAGAGTACTTCGCACTTGTTTTAGTATCACTTCGAAGCGCTCTCTCCTCGTACCAAAACATTGTGCCACACTATTAATAGTTACGCAAAAGATCAATAAAATCTCAAAATTCGCTACTTATTGTGTCTAGATGTAAAGAATTTGAAATTAAAGATATCATTGTTTGTATTTCACAATGTAAAAAATGCAAAATGTTTGAGAAGACCTAGCCAAATTAGAACCAATCGCAGACCTAGCCAAACCGTTGGCATTTTACTACGTATAAGACCATTTGGAGTGGTGATATATTAGGAGTTCAAAAGGCTAAGTGTAAAATTTTTGGACTCCTAATTGTGTGTAGTGGGAATTTAAAAAGGACATTAAAAGTGGATGAAGGGGTTACATGTAGAGGGTTGGTTGGGAGGAGTGAGAAAAGGAAAAAGAAAGAAAAAAGAAGAGAAAATACGGACACAAGGTTACTTATTTAATCATGGGCGGAGATAAGGGGTGGCCACCTAGGTCTTGGCTCACCCCAAATTTAAAAAATGACTTAAGTTTTATTGTAAAAAATTTTGTTTAATTTTTTCTTCAAAAATGTTCTTTGTACTGGTCCAGTCCAACCCAGTATCCTGGCTCCGCCCTTAGTTACTTTGTGAGGATGATGCAAATGTTAATCCTTGCAAATGTTATCCTTGCATCATATATAATATCTCAATTTTTTTAAAACTTATATTTTTTTTTCCTCCAAATTTTTCAAAAAATATATAAAAATTCATAAATTTTTATGATCTTTCATATGACACCAAAATGTAATATTCATATAAAATGAAAAAAAAATCTGAAGTTTTAATTGTTGAAGTTTTCTTGAGCCCAAAAAAACACGAAACACAATTTTTTTATTAATATAGCCTTCACAAATAATTGAATACTCCATAATCAAACTTTACTTGAACTAAATTCATTTGTTGTTAACTGAAAAACGTTAAAAAGGAAATGTGTCTTTTTATTTTATAATTAATTAGAGAAAAAATTAAAAGGAAAACATTACTTATAATAATTTAATTAATGTTTTACAAAATTGATATGTAAAAAACCATGCAGAGTGTATTTTATTGACGGTGCAGGAATGCAGAGAAATAAGAGTCAAAACACTGTTTTCATATGGATGGAGTCCATTTTTGACATTTAGACTCTCACACCACTCCAAATGATCTAATTGTACAGTGTATACATTTTTTATTTACGGTGTACAATTATTGGCAAATTATACCGTAGGATCGTCACACCGTGCTCAAAGTGCATCCATCCCAAAACGTTATAGTTTTGGTTTAAAAAAATTACAAAACCTCCCTTAATCCGAACCGGCCTGCGCATCTCCCCATCTGCTATACAAACTGACGCTCCTTTACTCCGCATCTCCGCATCTGCTCTACCACGTCTCGTCAGTTCACAGATGGCCATCCAAGCCTGCCGTCGCCCTCCCTTAGTTCCAATCTGAGTTCCCATCTTTGTCCGTCGAAATCAGCAAATTCATCCGTTGAAATTCGCAGATTCAGATCTCAGTGATGCAATAGCCAATGAGAGGATTCCAGTTGATGCAAAAGACGACCGATGAAGATGAAATTGAGATGTTGAAGACATCTAATTTGAAATCGGTGATTTTGAATGGTTCGATTTCTTCTTTCACCCTTGATATCAGGAGACATCTTCCTCGGTGGTTGCTTGCTTGGTTTGTGCGGCACATGAGAGAAGAAGGAAGAGCAAGGCATCTTGGGTGGTCGCTTGCGTAAAATAGATATCTGGACAACCTAGGTCGAATATAGACCCAAAATATATTTATGGATGGTTACTAATTTATAAAGTCGATTCTTAGTCTATTTATTTAAATTAGGCCATATAAAACTAGTTAAGTAATTAAATAAGGAAATATTAATATTAATAGTGATTATTGAATAAATATTGGATGTTGTAGTCAATTATATTCGGATATTTTATTTCAAATATTTAAAATTAATGGATGAAATTAATAAGGTAATTTTATTAATAGAACGTGAGTAATCAAATAAATTCGGATAACTAATAAATTAAGTTAATAAATTCAAATAATAAAATAAAAGGAGAAAATCGGGTAAAGTAATTACAAATAGAATAAGTGACTAATTTTATCATATTTAATTAAAAAGGTGATTATCTAGAGACCGGATTAGAGGAGGATAACTAGGAGCAACAGGACTTAAGGTAAGTTTCTCTGCCAATCCAAAATTGTCTCCTCGTATTATATGCTTATTATGCATTATGTGATTAAGTGTGAATTTTAAATGTGTACTGTTTTGGGCAACTAAGAATTTGTGAAATATTGGAGATATATTTTGGGATTTAATCCCTAGTATGACTTTGGAGTGGATTTTCATGTAATACAATTTTTGAATATTTATGAATGTGAAATTTTGGTGGACGTATCCATTAAATGGATATTTTGGAAGACTATGTATAGAGAAATAATTTTCCAAGAATGAATAATGTTTTTATAATGATTATTGACATCTCGAGAGAAACACGAGGTGTGGGTGGTTAGAGCTATATACCGCGAGTTTAGTTTAGGTTCATGATGATTATTGGTGGCGGGAGAAATCCCGGTAAATATTGGTGGCGGGAGATTCCCGGTATTTCTTTTGAGAACTTTAAAAGTTCTTTGGTGGCCGCGGTAGTAGTTTCTAATTACCCGGGTTTCTAACTCATTGTGAGGTAGGGGGACGTTGTCCGAACTACTTGGACTTCTTACTACTCAGAGGGCTTGGAATCCCTTTTAGGGGGTGTGCACACTTAAGGGTGAAGTTCAGTTTCCAATTGGTGGTCGGTGGGAGCCAGAATTCCGGGATGAGTCGTACGCAACAACGATTCATTGGGCTCGAGGAATCTCGAGTTTCGCCCATCTTAAAAGAATCTGAAAGTGACATTGATTTCGGGATGGTGATATTTTTAGCTACAAAAGTTATTTTTGAAAAGTGATACTTCTTTTGAGATATTAATTAATTGTCGGGAGCTTATAAATATTATTTTTTTATTATACGGGTATTTGAGATTATAAAGTTGATAAATGATGTTTTTGATTAGAAAAGAATTTCGGTGGTGTGAGTATTTTTATATAGTATTATATGAAAAATCTATTTTCGCCAAACCTGATTATTTTACGAGGTTGGGTAGTACTTACTTAGCTCTAAAGCTAATTTTTGTTTCCTTTTCTTTGTTTCGTTTTCTGCACTTTATTTGTGCAGGTAATGATGAATATGAAGCTCATGATGTTTGACGAGTCTTGAGAGCGCTTTAGAAGATTTAAGTGTAGTCTTCACTTAGTTTAAATAATGTTGTTAAATTTTGAATTTAAGTTTTTAATTCGGTTGAACTCATGGTGGATAGCCTTAACATCCAGCCAAGTTGAGGGCTGGGTGTGGCGGTAACACACCCTTTTTCCATTATTGTTATTTCCGCTGCAAAACTCTATCTATTTTTAAGGAATAAATCAAGGTTGTTATCAATATATTATTATTTCAAGTATTATTTCGGGCGGGAAAATGGGGGTGTTACAGGATGACTTGATCCCAACCACCAAATCTCCCGCATTAAATGCGCAACCACCAAATCTTCTGCCTTAAACGCGTTTCCCGCCAGGATCTTGGCTTCCTGCCAAGGGGTGGGGACGTTCGTCCCCTCGAGTTTGCTTCCTGCCTTCTGCTGGGTCCAAAGTCCTGCAAGCCGAGCGTCCGACGCTGCCCCTGCCAGGACCCTAAACCCTAGACCCTAGAACCTAGACCCTAAACCCTAAACCCTAAACCCTAAATCTTCTGCATTAAATGAATGGCTTGATCCCAACCACCAAATCTTCTGCATTAAATGCGCAACCATCAAATCTTCTGCCTTAAATGTGCTTCCTGCCATGATCTTGGCTTCCCGCCAAGGGGTGGGGACGTTCGTCCCCTCAAGCTTCCTTCCTTCCTTCTGCTGGGTCCAAAGTCCTTCAAGACGAGCGTCCGACGCTGCCCCTGCCATGACCTTGGCTTTTCGTCAAGAGGTGGGGACGTTCGTCCCCTCGAGCTTGCTTCCTGCCTTATGCTGGGTCCGAAGTCCTGCAAGACGATCGTCTGGCGCTGCCCCTGTTCCAAGGCACCCGCCTATGCCACGATACGTACGTCCCCTGGGCCTTGGAGCTAGAGCGTGGCCCTGTTGGGGACGAACCTCGCCAGGATAGGCGGAAAGGTAACTCATTGTCTCATGCCTTGTGGGGACGTTCGTAGGGCGGCCCTTGAGGGTTTTATGGGCCAACACCCGTTGGACCATTAACCCAACAAAAACTTTTTAGGAGCACTAACAAATACTCCTGCACTTTTAGGATGTTTTTACTTGGACTGTAATTTGCTGGTTGGTCTGGTCTGGTCTGATTTCTTTGTATTTTTATAACTATCCAAGTTTGATCTGATCTGGTTTAGTCTGATCTGGTCTGATCTGGTCTGATCTAGGAGGAATTACGATCCAAGTAAAAACATACTTATCAAACACTCCAATAATTGTTGTTTATGCTTCTTCAACTGGTAGGTCCAACCACCCTTAAACGGTTAGATAAAGTGTAAGTTTTAATCTGATGGTGTACGTTTTGAGTAGAAATGTTACCTCTACTGGGGGCTTCTTCCTCTGTCTCTTGTACTGCCTCTGGCTGTGTAATAAAAGTTGCGTATTTCAATCTCAGGACATTTCTCAATCCCCTAAGCTCTCGAAGACTGGGAGTGAGAGCTCAATCTTCAATGTCGTACGACGCACAACTCCACGCCGCTAAGAAAGCCGCCACTCTTGCTGCTCATCTCTGTCAGGTACCTCTACAGTATATTGGTACTCTTTCAATCGCTCTACTCAGGCGGATAGCTATAGTGGCTGAAGCCGGGCCAAACCAATTTTTTTCTGTAATGTTTTTGGGGGTTTCCCATTAAGACCACCGGCTATTTCTGTAAGATTAGCATAATCACCCATCGCACAGCCCAAACTGAATTCCTGATCCGCCCCTGGTTCTGCTAGGCTTCCATTAGCCATGAAGTTAGGTCTCTAAACATTTAAAGTTGTAATTGGCCGTATGATTTGTGGTTGTTTTCCTTCATCTCGCTCTCATTGACGACCTAGCATCGACTTAGGAAACGATTTTCATTATTCATTTTTTGAGTCTGTAGATTGAATTAGCTTCAACCTCACTCTCTCTACCAGCAGTCCGCAAAAATCGTGGAAACAACTTAGGTAATACCTCTGTCGTTGTACTTTACAGAAAGTTCAGAAGACGCTGTTGCAAACTGATGTGCATTCAAAGACAGATAAGAGCCCAGTCACCGTGGCTGATTATGGTGCGTGGGGTTATTTATTCATTAGTTTTGTTCATAACTTTCGGAAAGTTTCCAAATTAGCTTCTTTGCTACCAAACAATGTGCTTTATTATTTAAAGATCAAGTCTACAAATTAATCTGTATTTTATGGAATAGCTAATTGAGGATCAAAAATAGTTTTATTTGAAGTTGTTAAAATGGATTTTTAGTTCAAGTTATTTAAAACCAACTCTTTAAGTACTTCAGACATTTCAACGCACATCATTTAGGACAGGTTTACCAGTATTCATTAAGCAAATGTATTGTAACATTTGATGGATTATAACACTAAGACTGATAATTTTTGGTAAAAAGTCATTCTTTCATGTCAAGGCTCTTTATTTGGGTTTGGGTACATGTGATTCATCTTTCTAATTTGGTTACAAACTCACCAATATGTGATGGCACTTATGACTTTTCTTTGGATGATACATTTACTTGTCAGGTTCTCAGGCAGTGATCAGCCTTATATTGCAGAAGGAGTTGCCTTCTAATTCCTTTTCATTAGTGGCCGAGGAGGTTAATTTTTGTGCTTATGATATTTTTTGTTTTATTGAAATTTCAAAGCAGGGAATCTTTATTTAATTACACTATATAATTTACCACTCTGCATTATAATCTGTAGATCATAGAAACTGCTGCTTACTTATATTTGAGGGTTGTTCTCTAGTTTTCAGGAAAACAGATACTCTTCATCTGTTTACTTGATTCGGAAAACAGAAAAAAGCAAATGTGATTTTTGTTTTTGTTTTTCAGCTTTCAGAGAACAAAAAAGATTTCCAGTTAGTGAACAGCCTTCTACTGCTTCTGAATCTTATTACAATGATAGAAAAAACTTCCTCTGTCTTTGCAGTTTAAGTGTGAAGTGGAACAATGGAAAAATAAATTTTAGGAGGGGAACTTTGAAGATTAGGCATTATTTAACTAATGGAATCATGCGTTTCCATGATCTCTCAGTGCTATTATACCAACAAAGTTTTCATATTGGAGATATTTGCCCCATTTCTCGAGCTAACACATTGTTAAAACGCAACTTGTGATTAAACCACTTGTGCACCTGATAGCAATCTGAAATTTAAAAGGGAAGCAAGAAGCTGCATGATAAGAAAAATTGTCAAATGGAATGTTCTTGCTCCTGGTCTATTTCTTTGATCCAATTTTGCCAAGTTATTAATTGAAGTGTTAACTTGGATCATATAGGCCCATAGGGCAGTTATCAATGATTCAATGATGCCACTCTCACTTGATAGTCCATTGATCAGTACAATTTATCTCCTTTTATTATTTAGATAGATCTATAACACCTGTCTACTTAAACAGTACTCCGCAATTTAGTTCTAAATGAAACTGAAATGTGGATGCTGGACTTGTACAGGACTCAGAAGACCTCCGCAGAGAAGATTCAGAAGAGACTCTTCTGCGCATCACAGAAATTGTTAATGATACTCTCACTAGCACTGAATCAGGAATCACTTCTCCCTTATCTAAAGAAGATGTTCTTGCTGCAATTGACAGTGGCAGATCTGATGGTGGTCCTTCTGGTTGTCATTGGGTACTAGATCCTATCGATGGGACTAAAGGGTATTTTTTCATTCATCATACTTGGAGGGAGTATTAATTATGCAATACATTCTTTTCTGAAATAGTTTTCCATTGTCTATGTGATGTTTCCATATGTTGATTAGAATAAAGAAATGATTAGACATTTGATGAAAATAAGTCTTTGATGATATATTTTAAAGTATTAACGAAGTAGGAAGCAAGTTTACTGAGAATGAATGAAAAGAGGGCAGCTAACAGAGGAAACAATAATCTATTGCAAATTGAAATAAGAGCCACTTGAAATGTCATTTCGTAGGTTTCTAAGAGGTGACCAGTATGCTATTGCACTGGGTTTACTAGATGAAGGGAAGGTAGTTTTGGGTGTCCTTGCCTGCCCCAATCTTCCATTAGCTTCTATTGCATACCATGGTTATCAAGACAACTACGGTTGTTTATTTTTCGCTCAAGTTGGAGCTGGCACCTATATGCAAACTCTAGATGGCTCTCCTCCTAAAAAGGTTGTGATCTTCTTCGGTTCTGTTCTATTTAGAGCTCTCTTTTTTTGCTGCAATAGCAGATTTTGCGTAATTTACTGAAGTGAAAAGCGTTCATTAAATTGATTTCAGCCAAATAAGCAAGTCAATGTTTCTTATTCTGCTTATTCTAATTATTCTACTCATAAGCAGAATAAGCTCATTGATGCTACCAAGTGGGGCCTTAGTGATATTAATTAAGATTTTAATCTTATTATCTAACAGGTACATGTCACAGACATTGAAAACCCCGCAGAAGCATCATTTTTTGAATCTTTTGAAGCAGCACATTCAATGCATGACTTGTCTAGCTTGATTGCAAGGGTATAATACTCTCCTTCGTTATAAATCTCTCATGTTTCATTAATAAGATTTTAACTCAAAAAATATAAATAAAGAAACTAGGCGTGAAAGCATCACCTGTTCGAATAGATAGTCAGGCCAAGTATGGTGCATTGTCCCGAGGAGATGGAGCAATATATTTGAGATTCCCACATAAAGGCTACCGTGAGAAGATATGGGATCATGCAGCTGGATATATTGTTGTTTCTGGTACAGTTTTCTTAAGTAAACGTACTTTGATATTTCATTTCTTATCAGCTTTCACATGAAAATTTTGAATATTAGGAATTGCCGTCCAAGAATTGTTTGGCACATCAGCTATGTCCTGGTGTGCCATTCTAAAGTTGAACCTGCTTAGAGCATCTCCAATGGTTACTCCTAGCAAATTTTAAGAAATGTTTAATTTCCTCATGAAATATTGAAAGTTGATATTTTTCAGTATGTATGTGTTCTTAAAATTTCCTAGAGATCTGCTTGCAGTTTTTAAAAATATTAAAGCTAGTAGCTTACCATTGGAGTGCATCTTTCCATCTAGCTTGGGCAAGCAAATTAGCCTATACAAACTACTTGCTAGAAAGAAGAGATGTTTCAACTAAAATGGTAATTACCAAATATATTTATCTATTGGGTAATTGATTTACTAAATTAATAAAAAAATCCAACCGTAAAGTACTGATATACTAAAGTAGTTTTATTTATTTTGAATTGATATTATTTACTTAAGTATATTTATTTTATTAATATTGTTTAATTTAGTATATTTATTTTATTTAATGGTTTTTCTTTGTTAATTTTAAGAAATGTTTAATTTCCTCATGAGATATTGAAAGTTGATATTTTTCAGTATGTATGTGTTGTTAAAATTTCCTATTCTTATTTTTTTAACGTTACAAAATTCGTATTTTTGAACTAGTTTTAACAATATGCCTTTTCATATTATTATTTCCATCATTTGCAATGGAGCCAAAGATTCATTATTTTTTGGCTTGAGATTATGATGGAATAAAGCAAAATGGCTCACTAAACTGTCTGCGCTTCTTTGTTATAAAGCAACAGTCAGCCCATGCAATTTTGGACGGGATTTTCACTATGGGTCATCCGGAAACAGTCTCTCTGTGCTTTAGTACATGGGTAAGACTGCGTACATCCGATCCCCCTTACCCCACCGTAGGTGGGAGCCTTTGCGGCACTGGGGTAAATGAAAATGAAAAATGATGCCTTTTCATATTATCCCTGTTATAATAATAATAACCAAGCATTCCACCCCAGCTGGTTGCGAGGTTACCGTGCCTAGTGGAAGGCCTCGAGTTCGAAATCCGCTAGACACATAAGGGTTTGAAACTCAATGGAGTGAGTTTCAGCCCTGATTACTCTAGGCCCCCTTACCCCTCCTTCAGACCCCCCTGCAGTAAAATAAAAAATAAAAAAATAATAAATAAAAAAATAATAACCCTTATAGTTTCCGAGTTTAAAAATATCATTGACGTGACAAGCAAAACTAGGACGTGTATAGCTAACCATTATAGATGCTCTTACTGGCTTACCTATTGCACCCATCTCTTAATATAATCAATAGAAAACAAAAACCAAATGCATAATATGTTGGTACTTGAGACCAATGTTGTAAAAACTAAAGATATTGCCCTAAATAGAAGTAAAAACGTTTTTGTAATTCCAAAATATGAGCACTATATTTTTCTTCTAAGTAGGAATAAATACTGTCATGTTGGAAAATACGGTAAATTATGCCGGTGTACTGCCAAATTTAGAGTTTGGTACCGCCAATATGACAATAAATTTTTAAGATAGTAGTAATTTACTTTTCTAAGGAAAAACACACTACTCGCATTTTGGAGTTTTACATTATCTCTACAAATGTTTCGGTAGGTTATAGGCTGACTAGGAAATCCATAGGTGCTTTTGAAACGGAACGGTGAGTTTTAAGGGCTGTTTGGGTCCTCCAGTTTGGAACTTTTTTTTTTGTAAAAAACAACCGCATCGGCAATATGATGATGATAATATTAAAATGGAAATTATACTAGCAATAATAAAAGCACTAATAATAATAGCAATAATAATAATACTAATGATAATTATAATAATACAAAAAAGTATAGATAAATAACATTATCATCCCCATACATCTATATCCCCAACTACCCCAAAGCATAATAAAATAAAGAACAATAACAAATTAGCAATAATAAATTGGGCCCCTAATAAATACTAGTTGCATGTAAAATAATGTCATTCATGAATGTACCAAGTCTTTTATAAAGCAGAGTGCCTCTGACAGGGGCGGATCCAGAAAAGTCATCTGGGGGGGGACGAAAATATTTTTTGAAGGGTTCAAAATAATTTTTGGGAGGACGAAAATTATTTTTCGTATATATATACACTAAAAAAAATTTGTTGGGGGGCGGTAGCCCCCCTGAGTCTCTACTACGGTCCGCCCCTGGCCTCTAATAAACAGAAGTCACACACACAAGCAATGCATTCATTTATTTATATTATGCTATTAGTATTATTCTTATATTTTGTACAATTGTTTAACTTGAATTGAAAATTTTATTCATATATTTATATTATGCTATTAGTGTTAATTTTTTTTTATGTACAATTGTTTCACTTAAATTGAAAGTTTTAATTTTTCAAGTTGTTACTAGTAAGAATATAACTTTGACAATTGTAAACAAAAAATATACTACGTACATAGTATTTCTCTTGTTTTTGGAACCCTTTAATTTGAATAATTTAATTATTTTATTTCTATTTCAATTTTATAAATAATACTCCCTCTGTCCCGCAATGAACTTCCCACTTTCCTTTTTTAGATGTTCCAGAAAGAAGTTCTCATTTCCTTAAATGGCAAGTTAATCTACATCAAAACAGTGTCAAACAGTGTCAAAACAGTGCAAAACAGTGCCGAACAGTGTCGAAACAGTGTCAAAACAGTAAAATTTACCTCATGATAAGTTTATTTCCTTAATATGTGTGTAGGTCAAACTGTGAAGTTCATTGTGCGACGGAGAGAGTAGTATAATACGAACTACATTAGTAAATCTCTTAAGAACAATAAATAAAAAAATTGAACCTGAACCAAACTGGAACTGCTGGTTCCAGAACTGGGTAAAAACCGCCTATTTAGTGTTCCAGTTCTGGTAGCAAAAAATTGGAACCAGGAATAGATGGTTCGGTTCATAACTGCGGACATGTGTACCTTTAATTATCATGTTACTACTAAGCAGTAGAGCTTCATGTTTTGGGATTTTTATAGAAATACTAGACATAGTTTACTACACGGAGTATAATAGACTCCTGTAAAAAACTTGTTTCTAGAACTAATTTTGTCCTAAAACAAGTGTCTGGAGCCAGAAATCCACTTTAAGTTAAAAACAATAATCGTGTAAAGTCGGATGTCCGTTGTAGTCAATTACTCCAAAAAATATCGGAATAAATTTACGGGTACAAATGACCATCCATAACTAGTAATAACTTGGACCCCCAATTGCATTTAATAAAAAAGAAAAAGTTGCGACTGACTCAAATAGAACTTTTTTAGCATATGCAGTATTATATATAGTTTGGACAATAGGCATTGGCGTTGAAGAATTGTTTGGTACATTGGCTATGTGTTTGTGTGCAAGGTTTAAAACTGCTAGTTTGGGTATTGAGGTGGTTTGTCCAGAAGGGGCGAGTCGTAATCTTTGAGGCGTACACCGACAAATAAAACTTAAAATCGTTAAAAAAGTAATAACCAACTAAAGATATGCATTATAATAAATCTAAGAAGTCTCGAACACCAACACATATGATCACATCATCAAACATGATCATTCAAAATGAGAATTCAAACAAGTAAATGAGAATTCCATCATCAGTCATCACATTTACCTCCATTACTTGTTTATTTTTCTTATCTTTCCCTTGGTTACCCATCTGCGTCTGTCCACTTTTTTGTGCAGGAGCAAGGAAACTTCTTTGTGCAGAAGAATGAATTTCTTTCAACTGCACTGATAGTGCTTAATAGTTAATATAGATATCATAAATTAGGGTGATTTTTTTAATGAAACATCACTTGTTAGGGTTTAGTGTGGATGCATGTATAATGTATGGGCCTTTTATTAAATAAAAAAACACCGGACCCTTTTAAGTTTGGACCACATTAAAAAGATAGGGAAAACGCCTCAAGGCGCGTCTTAAGGCGTAAGGCTCTTATCATGGAAAATAATCTAAACCTCGAAACCTTCTCTGTATGCATCACCTTGAGGCGTGTCTCAAAACCTGCCCTGTAAGCGCCTTTTTAAATCATGCTTGTGTGCGATACTAAAGTTTAACCTACATACATTTCCTAATATTCACATACACATTAAAAATAAAAATTGGATTTTGCACCCATGTTTATTTCAAAACTGGACTTTGGATTCCATTTTAAAGTCCTTCCGGCCTGCACTCCCAAAGCCCGAAATCCTTTGTAGTGTGCTCCCTCAAGTCTCAAAAGTTGCTTATTTCTCTTGGACTCTGCGCTCTATGTTTAGTTTAATATTTGACTTTGCTTTCTATGTTTAGTTTAATGTTTGACTTTGTAACTCAATTTGGGACTTCAGCATTCAAACGGCAAGAACTTAAAAAAATGCACCCAAGAAAATGTGAAACGCAAAGTCCAATTTGAAAAAAAAAACAGAAAACAACATAGTCTTATCGGGTGATATGTTGATACTTGAGAGTTGAGACTGGTGCTGTAAAAATCAACCTATGGACAAAGTCACAGAGTGCAGAATGCCTTCTTAACTTGCCTTTATGTCCTGGGCTGACTAGGCGCCTTTAACTAGTAAACGCACAATCTTTTTGTTTGATATTTTTATAGAAATACTAGATATAATTTGCTCCAATATACTCCCTCTATCTCGTTTTTCCATTAGTACACTTCAGTTTTTAAATAAAATTAGTATAAACCAAACAGAAAGTTGTATTGCTCATTTAGTGTGTATATGACCATTTAATTCTGCGCTCTATGCGCATAGATAAAATTAGTAGAACTAGTAAAAGCTTGTATCATGATTGTGTTGACACAGTGTTATATGTATTTAAAAATACATATTATAATATGGTCCCCACGCATTAGGTGTAGCGCCTCTTGGTTGTCTAGCTAAAGATCATTCATTCTTTTTCTCTGAGCTTTGAATCGGAATGATTTTGTATGTTTTTAATGTGAATATTGTAGAAGCTGGAGGCATAGTGACAGATGCTGCAGGAAACCCATTAGATTTCTCCAAAGGAAGGTACCTGGACTTGGACACTGGCATCATTGTCACCAACCAAAAGTTGATGCCCGCTTTATTGAGAGCTGTTGGCGAGTCATTGGCCGAAAAAGCCTCATCTCTGTGATCCCATGTGTACACACTCATTTATGCATATACTCTTAACTCTGAATAATTACTATCCTGTTATTCTTTTATTTGATAAAGGTACTTAGGACTTCTGTTTGGAAAATGGTACAACAGTGTTAAGTCATTTTTCTTGAAAATGAAAGTGAAAAGTAAGCATTCACAGGTTGAGCCTAGAAAGGAACATCAGAAGAGTAGTCATGAGGGTGCCTTCTGATGGTGTCTCTAAGTGAAATCTCTTGCTCAAGGAGGTTGGCAGGGGGGACATCATATACATCTGTGAAAACTTCAGTAATCGGAGGTTTCTCCGCCTTCTCTGCCACTTGAATTGCATATAAGACCTGCAACCAGTGGTTTCGATGAAGGTCAGTGAGTAATTTGGTATGGAGTATCTTCTAGTTGGTGCATTATTTATTTTGGTCATATGTTGCCCAACTACATGTGAACAGAGGTACATAACATGAGTAGAAATGTTTACCTGCTTCCTTATACTGGTTTGAAGTTGAGATTCCGCTGCAGAGTCCCACCAACCTTCTCTTTGAATCCACTTCCTAAACCTTGTCACAGGATCCTGAACCCTTTTCCACAATTCAATCTCATCAGATGAACGATATTTTGTGGAGTCATCTGAAGTGGAGTGATGTCCCGCTCTGTATGTGAGCGCCTGTGATGATAAATTTAATGTAATCATTTCTCGATGACATACTATTGAATCAAACAAATGTCACAAATTTTAGTAGTGATTACTCGGATGGTCTGGGTCTGATTAATGGAAAGAGTGGAACTGTAACTGGGTATATTTCAGTCTGGTCCCGGTTTATGTGTGGGGTTTCAGTCCAGTTTATAGGGTTGGTCTTGGTTCTGTCTCTGACCCTATAAAATCGGATCAGATCAGGCCAGTTCCTACATTGGAGGAACTAAAACCGGACTGGGTTTCAACCAATTTCGGTCTGGTTTTGAATGGTCAGTTCTATTTGAACTAGGGCGAAACTGTGTCCGGAACCTATAGGTGGTGGTGGGGATGCGAGAATGAATGGTGGTGTCCCCGAAACCCTCATTTCTTGAAAGGCTTTTTTGTAACATCAATATCATATGGAGATCTTTTGCTGAACTTTGTGCTCCCCGTAACTTAAATTCTGTGAAAAAATAGAGGGGTATGAAAGAACCTCAATGAGAACAGGCTTATGCTCCTTAACAGCAATCTCACGAGCTGCACTAACAGCATTGAAGATGGCAAGAGCATCATTTCCATCAACACGAATGCTGCGAACTCCATATGCTTTGCCCCTGCTCACAACTCCATCACCTACATGTCATCAATCAATAGACATTAAACATGGTCGGGAGATTTTCTATTCGCAAATATGTTAAAACAACTCAACAATCAAGGTAGGGAGGTTTATACTTCGGAACTGGTCTCTAACAGGTGTACTTATTGCCCAACCATTGTTCCTGCAAAAGAAGATCACGGGCACCTCCATCACCCCCGCAAAGTTTAGTGCAGCATGGAAATCACCCTAAATGATAATCCATTTAGTACACCAAAGGCAAATCAATACAAATCTGGATCAAACTACTGAGCGTGACATGAATCACATGATCGAATAATACCACCCAAGACCCAAAATAAGAAGTCGTGTTTGGTCAAGATACTCCGTATGCCCCATTTCAAGCTTTTTAGTTCAGTTAACGATAGTTGACACTTGACAGATTATAAAGTCGCCACTTTTTTCTTAATAATCCGGACAAACTTACAAACTTTACAAAAACCAAATTTTAATACAACATCCTAGCTTTAGCCTCAAAAGAGTTTGGATTGGCTGAAATTAAAATTTTAATATTATAAGTCATTACTCCGTATTATATACTCCACATTATACTTATTTTATACTCCGTAATATATTAAAAGAGATTTAGCCTGATGGTGTGCGTACTGCATAGTGTGTCAAAACCTTAAACTGGGATTGAAGAAGTGCAGGATTTTATATTTTGACATGTTACAACTCCTTCAAATTCCTCATTATGAAACACAAATTTTCTTTGTTAGGACAAGTGGAGACATATTTGTCAATCCAAAAAGGTGGAATTGCTCGGTCCAAGACTCCAAGTGCCCCACACTTCCACTGACAGAATGTGTGGAGGAGTAAATGACCATATGATTTCAAACAAGTTTGAGTGAAGTTGTTCAGGGCTTGGTGCACACCAGAAGTCACCAAATTGGATGAATTTTTTATGCCACAGCTACTAGGAATTGAACTTGACCTAAATCCAATTGCCTCGGCTACTGTTGAGCTACCCGTGCAAGTAATGGAGACATATTTGTGGTCTTATTTGATGAAGAACTCACTGTTGCCATCATTATTTCAAAGAAAATGATAAAACTGATAGGAAGAAAAACATCTTTTAAAAACATCAAACATGTACTAACATATAAGAACAAAAACACTTCATTGGCGCAATGTATAGAGGTGCAAAGTAAAAGCTAATCTGCTTCATGCCATATGTATACTAAGTCAGTTACTCGAGATGAAACTGATAGGAAGAATATAATATGTTTACCGTACTGGAGCCTCCATCTCCAAAATATACGACAGCACATGCATCCTGTCCATCCATCTTCAAAGAATATGCAGCGCCAACCGCATGAGGAATTTGTGTACTAAGCCACAATAACCATTCTTTAAATTACTTATATATGTTCTAAAAATGTGGTGAATTACAAACTGCACAGTGAAAATAAGACGAGTCTTACGCGACAGTTGATGAGACAGTGAAGTAATTGAGCTTGTTAGATCCATAATGGATAGGCATCTGCCTGCCTTTCCCATTATCATATTTATTTCCAAAGCACTGATTTGCAAATTCCTGTAGGGTGAATCCCCTCCATAACAACACTCCAGGCTCCCTATACTACAAGGAAAAACATAAAGCAAATATCGTTTCCTATTTTATTTATGGTTCTGATAATAGACTCTTTATAATATTCCTTTGACGTGAAGGTTATACAAATCACTAGAAAAGGGAGAAAACTATTAACCCCACTCTCCTCATTACTGCTTATTTTGCTCGGAAGCTGACTGTTCAAAAACAGGTGAATGAACCAAACCAAATATACCCTCTATGTCCCACTCGAAGTAGGGTCCAGGGAGGGTGAGATGTACACATACCTTATTTCTATCCACTGGAATAAAGATGTTTCTCTGAAGACATATGCTGAGGAAAAATCCAGGAAGGTTTGGAAGATGTTTAGAGTTTTTTTTATTTATTTAAATTTTGTAAAACTTTGAAGAATATAGAGCTATAAAAAAACAGCACAAATAAACATTCAAAGGTGAAAGGTACTGTAAACTGATAAAAACTGCTGGGGCATTAAGGGCAAGAAATAAAGTAACATAAACAGCTAAAAAAGACAACAAAAAATAGGTAAATAAGAAAGCAGATAAAAAGTAAAAAAAATGGACTAGCTATCACCCACACAAATGACACAATGCAACCCGACTCCAAGAGTGGTTGCTCTCAACTGAAACATATCGTTTTAAATTATAGTTATCAATGTATATTGTTAAGAGTCTGTCATAAGTCATAAGCAAATATTAAAACAGGACGAGCTGTACAGTTTTGGCTTCAACTAGTGAAATGATTGCATTCAATATTTTAGTTTGGTCCAGTTGAGTGATCTAAATCCAATTATGAATTCTACAGTAAACTAACAGTAATGCTCTAAACACAAGTAAGGAGGCTGAACACATCAAGATGCATGAAATACTTATTTACTAACCTGAGGAAAGATGACATCATCCATGCGTAGTGCTGCTGCTGATGCAATGTTGATGGCCTCTTCTCCAATAGTAGTGACGTAGAATGATATCCTTCCTTGTCTTTGTGCTTCATAGAAAATGGTATCCATTGTTTGAAGAGTGACCATGTCGGTATATATTTTCTGAGCAACCTTCTTGTCAATCTGATAACATTAGCAGCCCCCATAAGATTCCCACAAAGGCGATATTGGGGCATACAAGTAACTTTTGCAACTTACCTTCAGAAAATTGATGGACAGAGGGAGACCCTCATCATTGAGCACGCGGTAGCAGTGAATCCTTTCATCTATGGTTTCAGAAATGAATTTCATTTGGTGGGTGAATTCAACCTTCCCTCCAGGGAAATCGAGGACCTGAAATTGCATGATATAAGTTGTTCATAACAACTATTGCTATCCAGATGATTTCTTAAGCATTTTCATGAGAAAAGTGCCACTTGATCCTTAGGAATCCATATTGAATCCTAAGCATATATGTAGGATGGAGTATAGGACTGGGATGTATCACTCAAGTGAATTTGTTCCAAAAGCTTGAATCCTGTCGACGATCTAATTTAATCTTAGATTGTAGGCTCATACTCTATCTTTAATTGTTTCTGGTGTGAAACTCTAGTATATCTATGTCAACACAACATATGATCGAAATGCAGACCTAAGTGATTAGTAAATAACTCTAAGAGAATCAACATCTATGCTTCCCAAATAATATGAATTCTAGTGATCCCCACTTCTGAATCATTGCCACATTTTATCAACTAATCTCAAAATTCTTCATATAGACAATTTTTTTGAATATTTGCGGGTCCTACTCTCACCTATCACCCATTCACCTATTCATACTCTAATAATCTGAAATTAGATTTTGCTGTCCAATTGTTCAAAAAACTACTCTCACAAATAAATTCTGTCACTATTAATCCATCATCCCAAAGCGGGCAGAGCCATAGAAACAAATGGCAAAAACTAAAGGCTGAAGATAATTCAAAATGTATTAATATCAACTCACATGTGGAAATCCACATCTTAACGGCAGAGAGATACCAAACACGCATTAGCAGCAGTTATTGTGATCAGCTCGGATCAATTGAGATGATAGAATCAAGGATATGGATTTACCTGCGGAAGATCATGAGAAACGTGAGCTGCGGGTTCAGCTGGGATTGATTGAATAAAACGGCGAGAGGTAAGAAGGGTAAGAAGAGAACCACCACCACCAGGCGGCGGAATGAACCCAAAGAGATTTTTTGAGGATGGAATTAGAGCCAAGAAATGTGAAGACTGATGAATAGCGAGTCTTGTGCTTAGCAGATAAGGAACCAGGGTTCTAGATTTTGAGAATGAGGAGGAAGCCATGCATAGAGGAGATGCAAATTCTCACTTTCTTAACTCGAACCGGAATCTAAAATGCAGCAAGTAAAAGTGTTCTAGAATTCATAGTAGGAGGACTCGGGGAACGTGTCCCATATAGTCAGTCCTTCAGGAGAATGATTGGTCCGAGACGTCAAATCCATGCCTTTTTGTCGAAATGCCCCATATTTGTAACAGAAAAACCAAAATTTGTAAACATTTCGCACATATCGTATACTACAATTATTTGTGCACCGCTCCTCCTTCCCGCACTCCTAAATTTATCCGGCGCACCCTTTTCTTCTCATTATTGGACAAATTTGTCCTCTTTCATATACTCCGAATGATATTAAGTCACTCCCTGGTAGAACGTAGTTCACCCAACGCCTCTTTCAAATTTAAACTACCTCCTTCCTTCTATTGCTTCTTAAATTAAAATATGGTTTTATACATCGTATTTCCTTAATTTTTGTTCAACTTTTTTTATGATTGAAACTAACTCCTTGTTGCTTCTTAAATTAAAATATGTTTTTATACGTGGTATTTCCTTTTTTATTAGCTTTATTTTTTTAAAACGACTATCTTTAGAATATACTCAAATCTTAATATAATTAGGATTACAAATTCCAACTACTATCGCACAACTACTATATAAATATTTATAACACATTATTATGCTCTTACATTTTTTCACACATTTCCTTTACAATGGACGATGAATTTGAAGATCATCTAAAAAAAGTGTTCTTGACATTCAGACTAACAAGATATTTATTTATTTATTTTAATTCATATTAATCACTTCATCTACCCCACTAGTTGTATATCGGTTTTTCTTTTTTATCTGCTGATTAAATTTGTCGCATAAAATGTTCAATATGTTTTTATTTAAAGTGACTTCGATCCCAGACCAGACTCAAGTAACATGAATCAATACATAATTCCGAAGCTAAAAAAGAAACAAAGACAAGAAATTAAGCATAAAAAGGTAAGATATGAGAAAGACTAAAAATTTATGACGTATAAATTAGAGATGGTATATACTGTCCTATAGAAATGATAATAAAAAAAGAATATTTTTTCAACAATTTACAAATGTAATATATGTGTCATATGAAAGATTATAAAAAGTTACTCAATTTAATACTCCCTATGTCCCATAAAATTCATCCCACTTTGATTTGACACAGAGATTAAGAAAGTGGAATAAAGTGGAAATGTGTGGTTGTAATTGTGTAAGAAAAAAGTGAAATGAATGTGAACCACACAAATTGTCCAAAAATGTTAAGTGAGAATTTTTTTTGGAACGATCCAAAAAGAAAAGTGAGAATAATTTTATGGGACGGAGGGAGTATATTTTTGTCAAAATCGGAGAAGAAATGAAAATAAAATAGTATAACATTTTATAATAATAATTGTTCGACACATTTTATAAAAAATGTTGTTTGCATTTCAATTTATATTGGATCCATTTTGAGTCATGAAACAAAATTACAAAAGTGGACAAACGGCAACGTAATGGGTTGTTCCTAATTTTAAAGACTATTTACACTGTTCAAATTGAAACTTCAATAAAAAGGAATGGAAGGGGCAAATTAGTCTAGCTACGGTTACGTAAAGAAATACCGGAGGTGCGCCTAGCAACCCGTTTGTGCACACAGACGATATGTACATTCCCCTAGCTATTTGTGTGCACGAGCAGTTCACGCGACATTATCTTTCTCCATAGACAATTATGTATGAATGCATGCGAAATGTGTACAAGAGCAATTGTTGTTCTTAACAATACCCCCATATATTTTTATCAAAAAAACTATTTATACATGTCAAATCAATACACGTCGCATGTGGATGTATTTTTTGTCTGTAAATACAATGTTCACGGACAAAAAACATCTACATAGACGGTGTGTATGAAACGTGTATGGATTTGACGTGTACAAGAACTTTCCTATTTTTATCAACATTCCAATGTACATATTCGATGGATGATAAAAGTTTGATATTGATGTTATCATATTGAGAGATATGATAACCTCATTCAAATCTTATATTGCGAATAAACCTTTTCAAATAATATGATTATTTTGCGAATCTCATATTGACAAAGACCTTACCATATTTTCCAAAAGAAATTGACACATCACCAACTCCATGCCCTAATAACTTTATAGAAGAGGATGTCTCCAAAGTTAAATTGTATGGAAGTGTGCACTGATATATGGATTAACTCAAACACGTAGAAGGATTGTTTTAAAAGTAAAAACGTTGGAAGGAAAATATGAAAAGTAAAAATATGCACACTTTTACTTTGAGGCCGTTTGGCAACCCTCATTTTCGGCTTATCAAGCTTATCAGCCAATTTTTTTACCAAACACATAAATTTTGCTTTCGCGCACTGAATTGTGTAATAAACCGAAAAAGTAAGGTTGAAGTTACTTTTCTGGCTGTATTGGCTGAAGTTACTGTAGATGATCATTTTACCTGTTTTTACATATAATTTTTTCTTTATTTTATTAATAAAATATATTTTAAAAATATTTTTTTCTTGTATCAGCAGAATCAGCATATGCAGCCACTTCAGCCAGAACTTCATAAATTTCAGCTGAATCAACCAAAACAGCCGATTTTCGTGCAACCAAACGGGCTCTTTATCTAATCAAAGAGATATAGACTACGGTGTATAAAGCAACTCAAGCAAAAGGTTTTTACTATAAATGAGACCAAACACAAGTGTAACACCGTAGTCCATAGGCAAAGTGTAACACCATAGGCAATCATCCAAAGCACAGCTAAGGTTTCAGTTTGTTATATGCAACCAAATGTCAAATTTGTATAAGAGAATGTTATGTCACATCGAGGAATGAAATAATAGAATATTTTAGGATACTTGTTTCCTTGTATATCTCAAACTCTTCTATATAAATATATCTATCAGGACTTCTATTGGAGTACCTTTTCTCAAAATCTCACATGATCTCAAGAGCTTAGGTTTAATTTTTTTTTCGGCTCCTTCTCTCACCTCAATTTTTTTTTTCCGCCGCCTCCTAAATCTCCAACCTGCGGCTATGGCTTCTGCGGATTCTTCATCGCCGCCCCACGGTCAGGCTTCTTCCGAAATTGAAGTGCCGCCAGTCTCTGCAGCTGTCACGTCCGGCGCCATCTCCTCCAGAATGACGCAGCCGGCCTCCTCCACCGTGGTCCCCTCCATTCCAGAGCCGTCCTCCTTTATGCCGAGCAACTACTCCCTCTTTCGTAATCTGCCGCCTCACTTTCCTTGGCAGAATGCTTCGGTTCCAAATCCTACAGGTCCATGGATGCCAAGTATGCCTCATCTCTCACCCGTGCAGGTTCCATCTCGTGAAGCCTCTTGGCCAATTGCTCCTCCGCCAACACCACGCCCGCTGCCGCCAGTAACCACTCAATTCTTCGGTCCCTCCTTTGCTGGTTCCCCGGGTATTGTCAGACCTACTGACAATTCCCTCTTTGGCTCTCCTATAGCGTCGCTAGCACAATCAGTTTCTAACGACATCGCTAATGTCTGCCAGATTGTGACAATTAAACTCAAGACTGTGAAAGATTACCTTACATGGTGCACACAATTTGAATCATTTTTTGTGTCTCAGGGACTTTTTGGCATTCTTGATGGATCTATTCAGGTACCTCCTATGTACATAGTGAATTTTAATAATCAGCAAATCATTAATAGCGACTACTATCATTGGCTTAGAGTATATCAAACAATTCATTCCTGATTGTTTGCTACTCTCACTCGGGATGTATTAACTGATGTGCATGATATTAAACATTTAGCTGGTATATGGGATCGTTTACAAACTCGTTTTATGTCTGCTAGTCTACCTAGAGCCATGGAACTTTAGCGTACTTTGAATTCCATTAAAAAAAAAGAGAGTCAATCCATGGAACATTACTTACGTGCTATGAAGCACGGATACTTCCCTAGGGTAGCATATCGGCGTATCGGATACGTTCTCATATCCGATACTCTAGGATACCCGTACCGTACGTTCCCGGGCCGTATCTGTAAATTTTAAAAGTTTCCATTTTTTTTTGTAATTTTTTGAAAGTTTCCGATACTCGTATCTTGACGGATACCCGTATCAACTTTTTTGAATAAAAAAAACCCCAAAATTTGAGGATCCTGAATCTATTGCAAGCAGATATTACATGGAACCTAAGAAGTGGTGGGCATGCTTTGGTTCTAATGCACCTTTTCTTCAAAAATTAGCTTTCAAAATACTAGGACAACCTACTTCATCATCATGCTCAGAAAGGAATTGGAGTTCTTATTCTTTTATTAATTCATTTAGAAGAAACAAACTGCTTCCAAAGCGAGCGGAGGATTTGGTATTTGTTCATAACAATCTTCATCTTTTATCACGAGCTTCTAAGCAGTATATGTTTTTAAATATTGTTTTCTATCTTAATTATTCTATAACTTTGGTACTTGCACTTTTAATTTCAATATTGTAGTTGTTTGACTTATTTCTCATTTTAAATTAATGACTTATCGACTACATGTCTACATTTATATTTCGAGATGCATTAGTGTATATGAGAAATATTACGATGTATATGTAATGAATGGGTATATATGTATATATAGGATATATATATATATATCCAAAAAATTATTTTTTTGTATATTTCATAGGATATTATATGCATATATTTCCAAAAAAAATCTATTTTTAATATTTATAAATACACCCCTGTAACTTTTAATATTTGTAAATACACCCTCATAACTTTTAATATTTATAAATATGGCCCCGTATCCGTATCCTACTTTTTTCTGTTTTGCCGTATCCCCGTACCCATGTCCGCGTTTCTGCGATTCCGCGTATCGATATCGGTGCTACATAGCTTACGTGATATTAAAAATCTGGCTGATGCTCTAGCTGCAATAAATTCTCCTGTTGCTGATAAGGAATTATTGCAAAGTACTCTATATGGACTTGGACCTGAGTATAGGTCGATTGTGGGCACCATGTCCTTATTTCCGCATGAATTTCCCCCTCACATTTTGCATCCTAGACTTCTTGAGGCTGAGCAACATATACTTCATGAGCGCCTTCAGGAGTCCTCCAACTTGCAACATGCTTTTGGTGCGCAAGCTGGTCAGCAGGTTCCGTAACCACACACATACCGCGGCAGAGGAGGCCGCGGCAGAGGCGGCCGCGGGAGAGGGGGTCGCGACAGGGGGCGTGGCCAGCAGCAAAATTTTTATCAGCAGCCCCCTGCCTTTGGTCAGCCGCAGTACCAGCAGCCGGGTGTTCCAGCAATCCCAGCACCTTCGGCCGCAGGGGGTGGTGTTCCACCGAGACCTACTAATGCCACTTCGGGTAAATCAGTCATGTCGACTTTAAATATTAATGCTAAATCTACTTCTGCTACTCACTTTCATCATGCAGGTTTCCCGTCAGCTGAGGGTATTCTTGGGTCTGTTCCTTCCCCAGTTGTGTGTCAGATTTGTTTCTCTGCAGGTCATTCAGCGTTGCACTGTCCGTCTCGCTTTTCACATGCATCTGCGCCTGCTTTGGTTGCCCCCAGTGGGGAATCTAATGACGTTTTGTGGTACCCGGACTCAGGGGCATCTGCTCACATGATCTCCTTTGAAGATATTTTGTCCAATAAATCCCCTTATTATGGCTCCATGACTGTTAGTGTTGCGAATGGTACAAATCTCCCCATTGCTAATATTGGAAATATTAAATTAAATACTCTCAGTCACCCTTTGTCATTAAACTCGGTTTTTCATGTGCCTCAAATTAAATTTAATTTACTCTCCATTCAAAAACTATGCGCTGATAACAACTGTGTTGCTATTTTTGACAAAAACTATTTTTTTGTTAAGGACAAAACTTCGGGGGTAGTTCTTCTTCAGGTGCGTCATAATGACCATCTCTACCCTATCAGCCTCAATATGTCCGCACCTTTTTCTTTAGCTTCCATCACTTCTTCTGGACCTGTGTGACACCATAGATTAGGACATTGTGGTGAAACTGTTTTGCGCCTGTTGCCCAGTAGAAAACTTATTTCTAGTTCGTCAAATTTTGAACATGATTGTGTTTCTTGTCGTTTGGGTAAATCCCAATGATTACCTTTTTCGGATGCTAGTCATACTTCTTCTGCATCATTACAATTAATTCATTCTGATGTGTGGCAATCACTTGTTTTATCAAATTTAGGATTTAAATATTATGTGTGTTTTATTGATGATTTTTCTCGTTTTACTTGGATCAATCCCTTGCGCACTAAAAGTGAAGTTTTTCATCAATTTTGTGTCTTTAAACTCTTAGTTGAAAATTTGTTTAACTCTAAAATTAAAGTTTTTCAAAGTGATGGAGGGGGTGAGTTTGTTAATTCTCATATGCAACATTTTTTTGCTGAAAATGACATCTATTTTCAAAAGTCTTGCCCTAATACTCCTCAACAAAACGGTGTAGTTGAACGCAAACATCGACATGTTATAGAATTTTCTAGGACTATGCTCCTCACAGCCTCTATTCCTAGCACCTTTTGGGTTGATGCATTTTTACACCCGCATATATTATTAACAGACTTCCTACTCCTAATCTCTGTGGTGTTTCTCCATATGACATTCTTTTTCAAAAACCTCCTGATTATAGTTTTTTACGTGTTTTTGGGTGTGCGTGTTATCCCAATTTTTCTGCATCTTCTTCAAATAAACTTTCCCCTCGCTCTATTCAATGTGTTTTTCTTGGCTATGCGTCCGGTTTTAAAGGTTATCGTTGTTTTGAATCCAAGTCTGGCAAAGTCTTTGTTAGTAGACATGTTCGTTTTCATGAAAATATATTTCCATTTACCACATTGTCTTCCTCTACGGGTCATGCTTTCACATACTCTCTTCCTATCTTTGATGACTTTACTCTTCCCAACACCACCTCCACTAACGGTATTCCCAATTCAGTTCATCAACCCCACCCAGCTCCCCCGGTAACATATAGCGCACCTGTGCCCTTCCATACACCGCCAGTAAACTCTCATCCACCACCCTCTTTGCCTATAGCTTCAAACCGCACCCCTAGCCCATCCCCTGTCCCTCCGGAATCCTCCCAGCCAGACACTCCTCTTACCGCCTCTTCCGATTTCTCCCCTACCCCATCCCCTGCACCTCCCTTACCTACGGCAATTGTGCCATCGACCACTGCTCCTCGTGCACCACTCATAAACAATCACCCAATGCAAACTAGGGCGAAATCGGGAATTTTTAAACCCAAAACCATTTTCAACTTAAACACGGTTGTTTTATCAGCTGATCCTACTTGCTTTTCTGAGGCTAATAAACAGTTAAAATGGCGTGAGGCCATGACTGAGGAATTTAATGCTCTTATTTCTAATAAAATTTGGGATTTAGTTCCGTTTGATAACAGTAAAAATGTTGTGGGCTCTAAGTGGATTTATAAGACCAAGTATAATTCAGATGGTTCCATTGAGCGTCACAAAGCTCGTCTGGTTGCTCAGGGGTTTAATCAACAGGCAGGTGTAGATTTCTTTGAAACTTTTAGTCCTGTCATAAAACCCACTACTTTTCGTATTGTTCTTTCATTAGCCATTTCTTTTGGGTGAGTCATTCATCAATTGGATGTCAAAAATGCTTTTTTACATGGTCACCTCACTGAGGAAGTCTATATGCGTCAGCCGCGGGGTTTTATACATCCTTTACTTCTTAATCATTTATGCAGATTGCGAAAAGTCATTTATGGTCTTAAGCAAGCCTCGCGGGCATGGTTTCACCGGTTTAGTAGTTTTTTATTGTCCCGTCATTTTTCATGCAGCAAGTCAGATAATTCCTTATTCATTTATCGCCGTAATAATGCTGTCATTTATTTATTATTATATGTAGATGACATAATTATTACTCGCAATTCTTCTGTTGCAATCACATCTTTTATTCAGCTTGTTGCTAAGTATTTTACTATGAAAGATCTCGGTGATCTTCATTATTTTTTGGGAGTTCAGGCAGTGCGGTCCACTAAGGGTTTATTTCTTTCTCAGCATAAATATGTGTCTCATCTACTTTCTCGTTTTCATCTTCACACTATTAAATCTGTTCGTACTCCTCTTGCTACTCGCACGTCTCTATCCCTCACTGATGGGGAACTCCTTGCAGATACCACTGAATATCGGAGTATGGTTGGTGCGTTACAATATTTAACTTTGACACGACCTGATATTACGTATGCTGTGCATTTAGTATCTCAATTTATGCATGCCTCTCGTACTACTCATCTATTTGCAGTCAAGCGCATTTTTAGGTACTTGCAGGGGACTTTGGATCATGGATTGTGGCTTCAGCCGACTACTCGAGCCACATGTATTTTTGCATATTCTGATGTTGATTGGGCTGGTTGTCCAGATACGTCTCGCTCCACGACAGGTTTTGCCGTGTTCTTAGGTCCCAATCTTGTTTCGTGGAAGTCCAAAAAGCAGCCTACAGATTCCAAGTCATCAACAGAGGCCGAGTATAGAGCAGTTGCGTACACTGTCCAGGACACATTGCATATTCGTTCCGTGCTGTTTGAACTTGGTTTTCCAGTTCACGTTCCTGTCCAACTTTTTTGTGATAACATCTCTGCTTCGTATTTGATTGCAAATCCTGGTCAGCATGCTCGTAGCAAGCACATCCAGATTGATTATCATTTTGTTAGAGAGCGTGTGGCTCATGGAGACTTAGTTGTGAAGTACATCCCTACACAGTTACAGTTAGCTGATATTTTTACTAAAAGCCTTTCTAGTCAGCAATTTCATTTTTTAAAAGACAACCTGCGCGTTGTATCTCCCGCAGAGTTTGAGGGGGTGTAATAGAATATTTTAGGATACTTGTTTCCTTGTATATCTCAAACTCTTCTATATAAATATATCTGTCAGGACTCTTATTGGAGTACCTTTTCCCAAAATCTCACATGAAAGCGTTAGAGATGTGTAATTTCACCTTAGTTAATAAAGGAGTCATGATTCTCATATTCCAAAAGGTTAAATCCCCAACCCAAGGCCATCACATGTCCCGATTCGACAAGACATTTAGGAGATTGTAAATCACAGTGACTTAATCAGCAAATGATGATAGACCTTGTACTTATGCGCACCAGAGATCTAACCCAGCACACGGGAGTTGTAACATTCATACGGCCATTCCAGGTTTCGTCAATGTTTTACTTTTCCCAACACTCTACCAACTAAGCTACCCGTGGAGCCGTGCAGATAAGTAGTTTTTTTACCCATCAAAAGTTCAAAACGATGAAACGAACTTCCTCGGCCCATGGTAACATAAAAGTTAGAAAAACAAATAAACCAGTTACATATACATGATCATGTATATCTTTCTTTTTTAAGATAAAGAATTAAGAAGTGTTGTTCTCATCTTACATTCTTCTGAAAGTTGTTACTGCTATCACCGCCACGAATGACCCCAACAAGGCAACAATAATCATCCTTTTTTATAAAATTTGTCTTTCAAAGTTTATTTTCAAATTTAGTACTCCGTATAAGAATTTGTATAAAATATTTGATCAAATAGCTTTTTGTTCAACTCTCCTATGAATTATGAATATGATAATAGTTTAAAACCACTTGATAATAGTGTAACCAATCAAAAGAAATGGCATATAGAAGAAATAGGAAAAGTAGTTTGACGACTTCAATTTTAGCAGATTTTTCCCCATGTGTCGTTTTTTCAATGACTTTGTAGTTTGTACTAAAGCACTAACAAGTACCGGGTATCACCATTAAATGTAGATTTTGTGGGGTAATAAATCTTCTCAAGATTGATAGCCAGAAGACCAACATTTGCCACACATGCCGCAAAATGATTTTGACTCGTGCATCAATGGTATATGTGAGCTATATGTGTAATATATGTGATAATAATACATACAGAACTATTGTGCATAGCTATATCAGAAGGATTGTAAGAAAGTTGACCGGGAGGGAGAGAACTGGGAGGGACCAAGCAAAAAAAAAAAAGAAACTATCAGCAACAACTACTGTATGAGTCACTAGTCTGTGGTGGCTTCTCCTTGAAAATGTTCTTTTTGACATGTGAGCCCTCCACACAAAGGCTTGGTGTATCAAGAATCTGCATATCCAAAACGAGATAAAGTCAACCCGATAGAAAACTTACTGCACATCAACTTAAAAAGATGAGCCCAATCAGTTGCCCTAACCACTCACCCCTAAAAGCTCCAATTTTAAGTATGGGAAAATTACGAGAATATTAGTAAAACTCGATCAATTTCCCATAATACGACTAAAAACTTAATCAACCAAAAGATGACTAAACCTCATCATACATGAGTACCGTTCTCTTAAATTCAAGACAAAATGACATGATTGTCCTCATGTGTCTATCCGCTGTGGTTACTCATTTGAGCATTTATTGCAGAAGAGATCAAAAGGAAACTCTCTCCTTCTACAGCCGTATATCAAAAGAGAAGCAGTTTTTGAAAATAGAGTTTGAGTCAAAAGAAAGAAAGCCATGGCAGAGAATGAGGACGGCGAAGCGGTGGAGACAAAGGAGACTGGAGTTTTTGTGATGACGGAGCAATGGATGTAGTGAAAACGAAGGAGACCACTGCTTCAGTGGTGACAAAGCAGTCGATGCAGTGACAATACCAATTTATGCAATTATCAGTTTATAAGGGCATTAAAAAACTGCGTAGTGGGCATTATTAAGGCATTTAATTTTTTGAATGAATCAAAAGGGGTAGGAAGTAGAAAGTGAAATGGTTGGGCAATAATTTAGTGTAGAACATGCAAAACTAAGAGATGGGCAGTAAGTTTATGCAGAACATGTAAAAACTAAGAGATGAATAGTAAGTTTATGTAGAACATGTAAAAACTAAGAGATGAGCAGTAAGTTTATGTAGAACATGTAAAAACTAAGAAATGGACAGTAAGTTTATGTAGAACATGTAAAAACTAAAAGATGGGCAGTAAGTTTATTATGCAATAATGTTGGTCATTAAACCAATTCAAATGACATCTTAGTTTTGTTAGGCAATAATTAACATGGGTAAGTTAAAAATAAGAGGAGCAGTAAGTTGGTTGATGAGTAACGTAGGCTGGTTAGTGAAATGATAAAAGGGCATTAAGGTGGTTTAGTCGATTAGGGAATGATAAATAAGGATGCATCAACAAAGATGAACGTATATAAAAAGATGAACGTATAAAAGAAGAATACGAATTGCAAATAATGAAAGGAGTTACCTTGTATAAGTTAATTCCATATTTTTAGGAGATTCCATTAATATGTCGGTTACAAACTCTAATAACACGGTTACCACTTATTTAATCTATCCCCACCAGCCCGTGAGTGGTTTAGCCACTCCTGAATTTTAGGAGATATAATAGCTCATTCATTAATTGAAAAGAGGGCATTTGAGGAATTAAAATTAAAAAAAAAACATGTGCATAGCCCTGAGCATGTGCGGGTAATACATAAGGAATAAAACTTCATTAAGTCATAGATCCGGAAAGACATGGACTTTTGGTCATAGGTCTGGTAATTTTCTCTTTAAGTATCTGTTTCGAAACCCGGAAAATATTAGGGAATGAATATAGTCAAACTCATTTTATATTCATTATTCGCATTATGCAGTCACTAAAAATCTAAAATATGAAATCTTTTAAATAAGTAATCACACCTAATTTTCCTTTACATTTTCTGAGATAAAGCCAGAAAGTCATTTTTTTGTCATTTTTTCATTTCCCTGTGACCCTGTCATTTTCTAGAAAAAACTCAATGGCCAATAGCATATTTTGTTGAAGTAGAAAAACAATGGTGTTATTGTGAAGAACAAAAATTGTGGAGCATGTCAAGATTATGAACCTTCATTATAAGCTCATCAAAACATTGCTGCACATTCACACATGTTTTTGCACTGCATTCAATGAAGAGGCATCCATATTCCCTAGCAAATTCTATTCCTTCTTTTTTGGTAACAGCCCTTTCAGCATCCTAGAAAAATTAAATATGAAATGTAAGAAAACAAGCATCAATGAGAGTTATGCATTATAGTCCTTTAGCATTTCTATGTTGGTCATATTCTCCACACACTACCTCTTAAGGCTGGGTAAGGACATATGGTTAGGTCCGTTTCTTGTAGGCCGGGCTCGCCCATGCCATTAACACCAATGGGCAGAAAATTTAGAAAAAACCTGGTCTGAGCCCATCCCGAGCTCGGTTGTGTGCAGGTCTAATTTTGGGTCTAGATTGATTATGTTATAAGTACTTGGAATATGAATTGATTGGATTTCAGAATTTGAAACACAGGAAAAGAAATAAAATCAATTCACACACTCCAACTTGCAAGAGAATTTACCTTGTCAACTTTGTTTCCAACCAGCATTCTGATGCAATCTTGATTTGTTGAGTAAAGTTCAATCTCTTTAGCCCAAATATCTTTAAGATTGGTAAAAGTTTCTCGTCTTGTGACATCATAAACTGCTCAGACAAAAAAACATGGGTGTGAGGTAAAAAATGTTTCCTATCTCTGAGGTTCAGTATTGATGTCAAAGCAAGGTAAATAGTGATGAGAGTCGCATACTAATCTAGCACAGTGCATTTGTACAACACTTTATAAAAAACGGTCATCAACATAGAACAAACTAAAGAAGAAATACCCATGATGATCCCTTGTGCTCCTCGGTAATATGAACTTGTTAGTGTTCTGAATCTTTCCTGACCAGCTGCAAAACAAAATATCAAGAAGAATGTATTAGGGTGATAAGAACTTCAGATTGCTAATAATATCAAGAAGAATGTATTAGGGTGATATGAGCTTCAGATTGCTAATAATGACATGGATATTACAGACAAGGTTTTGAAATGCGAAATCGGGCCTCGAGGCATTTGCTCGTAGCCTCACGAGGCGTAAGCCTCAAAATTAATTGCTTAAATGTTTAAAAGAATATCCCATCTAAACAAAATCAAGTAAAAATAACATAACTATAAAACATCCAAGTCAGAATAACATAAAATTGAAATGCCAAAGTCAAAACTCAAACCAACGTAAACACTAAAATTCCAGGACAAATAAATAAGCTAAATGATAGTTTTATGATCACTTTAAAGTTTAAACTGTAGGCCAATAGTACAGTAATAAATTAATAAAATAATAATATTGAATGACAAGTTGACAACCATAATACTTAATAATAGCATAAGTGCATAACAACTATAGTGAGGCGGTGGAATATTTTATAGTTTGCTGGCTGAAAAAGCATTAAATACGTAGCAGACTATTTACTTCAAACCTGAACTTTTAAATAATTAAAAATTTAAAACAAATTAAATTAAACAATAAATACAACAAGAAACTATAGAAGTATGCTGTACACGGTGGGATATTCTATACAAGTGGTCGTTGGGATATTTTAGTATATTTACTTAATAATACCTGGAATGAAAGCAACTCTGAAAGATCGAAGTCTACATACTCAGCTTCAAGCCTTCGACTGAGAGAGTTTTTCAAGCCGTTTCTTAATATAGTAGTAGTGGAAGGTAATTAAATAGTTACCTAGGGATGTCGTGTGTTACCTAAGAGATACACGTGTAGTTTTTAAAAAAAAAAATCGAGGCCCCCAATAGTTCAAAAAAAGAGAGCCCAAGTTGCGTTTAGTGAAATGCGTACGCCTCAATTACGCCTTGCGCACTGGGATCGCATCACCGCCTCAGCAAAAAAAGGCGTTAGCCTTGTTAGTGGAAGGTGATGCTCAAGCCTTACAGGCGATTTGATAGCGCCTTTGCGCTTTTACGCCTCTGAGGCGTAGGTGCGTTTCGCCTTTTAAAACCATGATTACAGAGTGCAGAGGAAATAAAAGAAGCAAACAAGTTGGAATGTTTATGGAAATTCCTTCTCCTTAGGAAGTCTTCTCCCATTTCATTCTTGGATATTTTATTTACAAAGAGAAGGTCCCTTTCGTACTACAGATTACATGGATAGAATCATAGACATGCCTAAAACAATGACATACAGTGGGGGTAAAAACAAGTTATTAGAGCATTATGATCCAAAAAGAGGTCCATGGACAGGGGCGGATCTAGCATAGGGCCAGGAGGGCCTAGGCCCCACCTCAAAAAAAAAATTACTAGTATACATATATATATATATATATATATATATATATATATATATATATATATGTACTGTGAAGCATTATGATCCAAAAAGAGGTCCATGGACAGGGGCGGATCTAGCATAGGGCCAGGAGGGCCTAGGCCCCACCTCAAAAAAAAAATTACTAGTATACATATATATATATATATATATATATATATATATATGTATATATGTATATATATGTACTGTGAAGCAATGGTATAATTAGAACAAACGTCCTATTGTAAACAAAAGCTACGTTGGTGTGACGTTAGAGGTGTGATTGTGCAGTGTAGAGGTTATGTGTTCAATTCCTAGCTGGAGCATATTTTTTTTATTTTCCATCCAAGTCCAGGAACAAGCTATCTTACACAAATCAAGTCTGAATTATAACTTTTGAATACTAGGATGCAAAAATTAAGTAGTCCAACTAATTGGGCTTTATTAGTCTGAAAAACCAATTAGTTCAATTGATTGAGCTTTTTGAATATTGTCCTAAAAATGAATTAGTTTTATTTATTGGGCTTTTGAATATTGACCAAAAAATTAATTAGTTGAATACATTGGATTTCGTAGGTGAAAATAAGTTTTCTTTACATAGAGTATAGATTTTAGATTAAAAAAATCGGTTTATCTTGTTTCCGAGAAAGTAACCTAAAAATTGGCACTAAACATTTGGGTAACCGATAAAACTTCGGTTCGATATTTATGACTTTTAAGATAATTGTATTGTCGATTCTGTAATATTCAATTTATTCTTTGACATTTCTATAATTTACATTTTGACTTCTAAGATATTATTATATTGTACTACATTTTGACATTTTTTTATAATATACGTTATTTGATTAAATTTTGGCCCCACCTGAACGTAAATGCTAGATCCGCCCCTGTCCATGGAGACCCACAATGAGTAGCTGACATGAATTGTGAGGGTTGCAATTTGTTTAGGGCATTGAGCTTATGACACATGTGCACAGACACATGACAAGGGAGAGTAGAAAAAGAACATACATGTAAGATCCCACATATTTGGAATTAATACTCTATGGCTGTTGATGGCCAACAAATATAAGCTTCATCATATGAAAAATTCACATGAAACAGCCAGGATAAACCAGTCTAAGAAACGACTCATCCAGTAAATTACCTGTATCCCAGATTGCCAGCTTCAGCTTTTTATCTCCGGAGACGACATATTTCACCTTAAAGTCAACACCTGCCATTGTAGAAACCGGCATTGCAGAGGATTAATACCCATAAAATAGATCAAGGATACAGCTGAAGACTTTTTCAGTGACGAAATACAAGATGGAAAAGGACGCATATTTGGAAATCGCCTCCCTGACCTACGCTCGAGTGGTTCCCAAAGGTGAAGAAAAAATTAAATTCAACCTAAATCATATGCATTCGATTTTGAGCAGATTCCGATAGCGTCAAGATATTGAGAACACGCTAATTAATACTCCGTATAAGAAAGACAGAAACATGTTAAAGTATAAACAGTGCGTGTATTACCAATGGTTGGGGAGAGATCCTCAAAAGTATCAGATGTGAACCTGACAAGAAGACTGCTCTTCCCGACGCCGGAGTCACCTATCAGCAGCAACTTGAATAGGTAATCGAAGTCCTGGGATTGACTCTTCGACTCCATGATTTCGCTGTGATGATAAATAAGCAATATGCAATTCTCAAACTTACGGAATACAAAAGTATTGTCGAGTACGATGCTAAAGATGGATTAATACTGTAAATCGAGAATTGTGTATGAAATAGGAGATCCAACTCAACGGGTTTGCTTTCGGGTTGTCCCGATGCTTCTTACTGCGAAATCTTCAGGTGGTCGGTATTCCTTGATACACCCCAGTCGAAGTTTTGTTTAATTAAATAGAAATTACTTCAAATAGGACTAAAACAATGTCAAAAACTCAAATGAGTACTTGTTATGTTTTTAGGATGTTTTTACTTGGACTGCAATTCGTCCCAGATCAGATCAGACCAGATCAGATCAGATCAGACCAGACCAGATCAGATCAGATCAGACCAGATCAGACCAGACCAGACCAGTTCAGACCAGACCAGTTCAGATCAGACCAGACTAGACCAAACTTGGATAGTTATAAAAACACAAAGAAATCAGACCAGACCAGACCAGACCAGACCACACCAGTTCAGACCAGACCAGACCAGACCAGATTAGACCAGACCAGACCAGCAAATTACAGTCCAAGTAAAAACATCCTTCCAAAATAGGACCATATGAGACCTATTTGAAAACATACCTATTTTTACCTTTCATTTTTACCCTTTCATTAAATATGAGTTAAAAATAGTCAAAAGCCATAATTAAATGTTTAATTCATAATAAATTCTAAAAAAAATAAAAAATTCGTAGAAAAATAATTAAAAAATTTACAAAATGTTTATAAAATAAAAAATTCAAAAAAAATCAATATGGATGCCTTTCCCACCGCCTGTACTACCTCCCTGCACCACCACCTCCGGCCAGTGAAAAAAATGTCATTTTTCCTAAAAACTACCATTTTTCTGAAAATGCCAAAAAAGTGGCATATTTCTCTTCGCGAATGCCAACATTTTCATTGTTTTCTGCCATAAATATGGCATTCGTAATGAACTTGGCATTTTTTCCCCTGGTGACTGAAGGTGGTGGTGCAAAGGCGGCAGAGGCGGCGGTGAATTTTATTTTATTTTTTTGAGTTTTTTATTTTTTTTAAATTTTTTAATTTTTTATTATTTGAAAAAAAATGAATTAATTATTATAATCGAAATATTTTTATTAGTTTTTTAGTAGTTTTTACGAATTTTTATTATTTTTTATTATTTTATTATGAATTAAAACATTTAAATAGCTAGAAGGGTATATTTGTCCAAAACACACATAATTAGTCCTATCAAAACATAGTTTAGTTTTTGGTCCTATTTGTGGTTGTGGTTGAGTAAAAAATGTAAATGAATGTTAGTAATACAATGCTTTTCAAAAAGAAAAATAGGGAGTACTATTGAGTATTTATTATTGCTGATGGAGTATATGGCCCGGGAACCCCCGGCCCACAGACTCCTACTACTCCAGCGGAGGCCCAACAGGCCCAGAAGGCCCAACAGGCCCAAATCACAGCGCCCAGAGTACCAAGCAGCCCGCACTACGCGCCAGGGGTGCCTTCGGCCCCTGGCCGAAGGCTCTAAACTCTCACAGAACGGGTTTCTCAAGCAAATTAAGAAACTGGGAGAAAACGGCGAAAACAGTAGCCCTCGGCACTGTGAGCCCTCGGCACCAGGGTGCCATCGGCTGGAGGAGCCCTCGGCTACTGCTCTATAGCCGAAGGCATCTCACTCGACAAGATATCCGCCTCACATGCGTACAGATCGCCGTACCCTGCACAGACGTCCCATCCAACAGCCGCATTAAATGCGGCCACATGCGGCTGCCAGCGCCAACCAGTTGAGGTGACCCCTCGGCCAATGAGCGCTCCTGTCCGGCATTTATTGCTACTATAAATAACACCCCATTTCCCCATTTGTAACGACGCTGAAAACGGCATTCATACTGAATACACTCTCTCTACATTTATTTGCTCTGGCTTCTCTCTAAGTTATTCCCAGCAATAACCCTTCGGATATATACCCCCGGGTAGACTATCCATCATTTGGTGCTCTCGTTGAGAGGTCGAACAATCAAGTAAGAAACCCTCCCCCTCGACCAAACACAAAACACTAGCCCTCTATCAAAATGGTGAGGACAACACGTGCCAACTCGAAGAACGTAGAAGACAAGAACCTGGCCCTCGGCGACGTCAACGCCCCCGAAGCCTCTCACAGGGCTCCCGAGGGCGGTGTCATCGCCGGGCTGGAACAGGCGGCTGTCGACCTACGCCTTCAGATCCAACAAAATGCCCCCGATGCCCGCCTCGGCATCGAGGCAAAAAAGAAAAACCGGAGCGATGACCAAGTCAGCCCTCCGGTTCTCACCATCGACGTGCAATCGGCGCTCTCCGCCTTCATCCAAACGCTCACCCAGAACCCGGGTGCCTTCGGCACCCTGGCTCCAGCTCACCCTCAGGTCGGGGAAAACATCATACTTCCCCCTCTGCCACACCCCTTCGGAAATCCCACCCCTCGGGTGAGAAACGACGAAGGGGTGGTGGCCCAAGATACGTCCTCCCAGGAAGTTCAGTCCCGGGACCGCCATAATGACAACAGGGAAAGGCCTCGTACTTCCGCCCTCAACCGGTTCGGAGGAGGGCCAGACCGCCGAGGGGTCCAAGACCGCCTCGGGGGGAAAGCACTCCAAAGGCCCCATGAAAGCGGGGGATCTGTTTCGAGGGCAGACGAGGAGCGTCCCCCTCGAGACAAAGGCAAGGCACCCCTTCATGCCGATGATGCTCGGCACCAAATCAATCAGGCCCACTCGGCCCGGGTTCGTTCGCAGGGGGCGGAGACCCTCCCGAAGGATCCCCGGGACGAGATTATTGCGGCCCTCCAACGCCGGCTTGACGAAATGGAGTCCAACAAAGGGGCTTGGGAGGAGAAGATTCTTCTACGACCACAACGGGGGGCTTCCTTCGACTCCGGGGCCCCTTTCTTCTTCTTCTTCCCCTCCGGTTGTGTCGGGTCCTTCCCAAGCCTTTTTCTCTTCAGCTCCAGACCAGGGGAGCCCCCGACGGCGGCCTCCGGTACGGGCCCCGCCTCCTTGGCCTCTTCGGCCGCTCCCGCCTTGGGGAAGATCTCATCGACCGCCCTCTGCTGTGCGGGGGCCTCCTTCTTCTGCTCCTCCCGGACAAGTTGCCGTTTCAGCTTAACCAGGTTCCGAGCGTCCATGTCTGGTCCTGAAACACAAGAAGGCACACAAGGGTTAGTTCACTATTACAGCAAAGCAAAAAATGTAAAGGGGGAAGAAAATTTTCTATGTATGAAAAATGAAGCCTTCGGCATAACAACAACCTTCAGCACTCTCATATACGCGGTCAATCAGGGGGTAGCCTTCCTCCTTCTCCCCCATCAGCCGGTACTGACGGAAGCCGAGCTTGTACAACTCACTGGAGAGCGTTGCGCCTTTGATGGACACATGTTTATCGGAACCCTCCGGCTTCTTGGACAACACCCGCCCATTCTTTTCGAGGGCATACCCTTCTGCCTTCGGGTGCCGCCGAAACCTGTCACCAAGCGGAGCGGAGAAGGGGTTCTCGGCCAACCGGATGTAGAAGAACTTGTCTTTCCACCCCTTGTGAGACGAAGGCGCCTCATCAAAGATCCTGAACTTCGGGAGTTGCTGCAGATTACCATAGCCCCCGGCGTTCGAATGCCCCCCCCCCCCCCCCCGGAATAAGTTGAATGACAGGAAGAATTGCTCCAGAGTAGGGGGACCCTTCGGCTTAGGCACAGTGACAGGAACCCTGCCAGATACGAGTGACTGTTCGGGGTCAACTGGCAGGGGGCTAGCTTTACAAAGCGGAGGTACTCCAACACGAAAGGATGAAGGGGAAACCTGAGACCCAGCTCCACCGAAAGCAGATGCACGGCAAAGCAGCCGTCGGGGGCACGAAGGAGCACATCATCCGGCTTGGGCTCTATCACTTGCACCGAAGGCCCTACCAAAAATTGTATCGCCATCATTTCCCCTCGGGTAGCTTTATTCTTGACCTCCAAGGCGGCCGTATTCAGGAAAGAATAGCCCTCGGGTAGTCCCAGTGGCTGGCCAGCGTCGACGGTAGCTTGCTTCTTCTTCGGAGCCATCCTCGCCTTCTTTCTCTTCTGCCCTGGGGCCACACTGAGGGGTACAGCATCTATAGGCCGGGAGCTCCCAGCTTCAGTACCACACCGAGGGGGAGGGATAGCTACAGTCACCTTCAGGCCCTCCTTCTGGGCCTCGTCCTCGGCCACCTGACAGGCGATGGCGAGCTCCTCATCCGCGTTCACCTGCTCGAAGTCTTCGGCCTCGAGCTCAAGTTGAAGGTCACTCTATACCGCCTCGACTACGGCCCTATCATCAATGGCCGAGAGCTGCCCGCTCGAGGATTCCACGTCAGACGGCACTTCAACGTTCACTGAAGCCTCCACGGAGATGTCTTGGGAATCACTAGCTGACGACATTTTTCTAAAAGGCGAGGGGTCGGGAAACTCGTACGAAGGGGGGGTTCCTGAAGGGTCCTAAAGACTAACCCTAAGGCCAAAAGAAATACTCAAATGGAGCCAAGGGCGGAAGGAGAACTGACCTCTGAAAGCTGAGTTTTTGACCGAAAGCTCGAGTTTCTCTCTCTAGAATTTTTTGCAGAGCTTCGCTAGGGATGTGGATGCGTAAAGGGGGAATGGCCCTGGCTTGGGGTATTTATAGGCTCCCAGATCCGGGCTTGGGCCGAGATTCGGGCTCCCAGCAGCCAAAGCCATCATTACGCACCGTCGTTTCACCCAACCGGTGACGCCCGCCCACGAGCAGCCAACGGCTACACTCCACGTGTACCCCCCCAACGGCTATAAATCTGACGTTACATATTCCAACGGCCATATTTCCAACGGCTATATTTCGGAAGCCCCCGGGTTTTTCTACTTCACTCCGCTATATCAATGAGAGCCTCCGGGTACACTTACCCAGAGATGCCCCCGGGTTGTGCCCCACACAGCACTAACAAACGCCTTCGGGATCACTCCTTCAGAAACCCAAGGCTCCATAGCAAGGTACCCCTCGGGGGATTCCCCCTCGGCAATGTAAACCGGGTAGCCCCCGGAGAGTTGCCTCATTGACGGATAGCCTATCGCACACAGGTAATGGGAGCCCTCGAGTATCTTCATCACCAACTAATCAACAAACAGTGGACCCCCCCCCCCCCCCCCCCCGTAACAACTCCACTGCTGCCCTCATCCAGCAGGC